AATACTTCGTGTCTCTCGTCTCGGAAAAATTTTTATCGTGCCACGACACATAATAAAATTCACAGACTCTTCACTCGATTCTTGTCTCTTCACAAAAGACGACACATTTGGGCCAATGAGTGTTTTTACACTCGCCAGAGCTTGACTCTTGGCATGTGAACCTTCTTCGCTGCCGCCGCCGAAAGAGGCCGAAAGGACTCTCTTTCTCTCGCCCGTGTCGGAAGTCCTGTGAAATGGAAAATGCACGCCGCCAGGAGAGGGAGTCCCGGGATGGAATATGATGGGTGTATTTGGAGCGGAAAATGTTTTATCTATTGTGGAATTCTTTTCATTGTCTCCATGTGTGTGTTTGTGTGTCTTTTTGAGCTCCAGAGAAAATGCGATATAATATCGCCAACAAAGGACTTAAAGAGCCAGCACATTAAAGTGTTGGAAGAAGTGTGACAAATATGCAAATGCACAGATTATTATTGTTATGTGAATGAATTATGAGATTTCCTCTTTTAACAGAATGAATTCACGTAATTATTTCAAAAAGATACATAGAAAAAAAACACTGGTTTTCCATCAAAAGCACAATCAAAAGACACTCAAGTGATGCTACATAAATAAGTGTTATGTGAAAGAACTGCAAAAATTCATCATTCTCGTGACGAATGACAATTCCTTTGAAGATAAATTTAGTTGAGCAGAAGTAAGGAAAATTGCAACTGCGTATTACACTTTGTTGTGTGGCTCTTATGTCATTGATATGAAGTGGAAGTAATTGTAAAAGTCATGGATTCCGAACTCAGACTGTCTCTATTCTCTCTCTGTTCTCGTCATTTTCATATATCCCATGCATGATTTTGAATAACGCATTTACATAATTATAATTTCTCCAGTATTTAATTAAAAGTACTCCTCAAAACCTGCTATTCTCACTCACAAAAACACACACACACACAAATGCCGTTCATCTTCATTTCAACTTAATTAAAATTTATGCCGAACTTTCTTCCCGAGTCATCTTTCTGGGTGATTCCCATTATGCCATCCGCCGCCTTTACAGGTGGCTGAGAGAGACACTTTTTGTGCCCAGGAAGAGTTCAGGTGGGATCGCTTACCGCCCCGAGGGCGACAACTGGGCGGGGGTTGAAGAGGTCTGTGTCGCCCTGTCATCGAAAATATAATTCATTTATGATTGAAGTTTGCAAGGATTTGCCGTCACTTTTTGGGGCACACAAGAGTGAAACTTTTCCTCCTGTGCGACTATGGCTGATCCTCCCTTTTTCGCCTTGACGTACATTTCAGGTTCACCCCCCAAACCCATTTTCACCATCGTCTCACCATCAGATAGGGTGTCTCTTCTTCCCTGAGCAAAGGAAACTCGGCATTTTTGGGTCTAACACAGAGAAAAGCCGAAGAGAGAGAGAGAGGAGAATCATCTTCATCGTGCCGCAGACAAAGTGAATTATGGTTACATCGTTTAGATAAAAGTCACTTCAACTTCTCTAAATTCCCTTCTAGTCGAATGGAAATTTTGATTTCTTGCCCTCGCCACCCTTGGCTCTCTTTTATGGCACTTACATGCCACCCCCCACGGGATGTGGCGGGGGTGTGTTTTGTGTGAGACGGAAATGACGAAAGACGGAGCAACTTCCACACTCGCTTGCTCGAGAGAGGGTGTATAAACGGCGGCTGATTATGATATGAACGGAAGATAAGAAAACATATAAAAGAGGAAATCCAAAATTATGCTGATGATTGTGATTTTTCCGCATATTCAACACATAGACTCCGACGCTATACTTAAGATAGTCAAGCTGCTGAGAGACAAAATGTACAAAGGAACCTGAAAAGCCTCAAAACTTTGCTGTGCGATGCAAGAAATATACTTCAGAGCTTTCTATGTATAGTATTTGAGTAATCAATTTATGGCGTGTTCTTGTGGAAAAAAAATCAAGGGGTGTAGTTTTCGAAATCATCAAGTTAGATTAGTTAGAAAAAATAGTAGAAGTTCTGATCATATTCTTTAAGTGCAGATAGTTTCAAACTTAATCAGCTAAGAAAGCTGAAAAGCTCTATTTTTGTGCTCAAATTCCTCTCTTTCTAGATCAGGATCACGCCAGGAAGTCATCGAGTATGCAAATATGAGAAAAAAGAAGAAGAAAGACGCGAAGATGCGATATTAGTAGCTTCCCAAATGAATATAGTAGAAAACAAGGTGAAAAATGACATTTTGGGCTTTAAAAGGACTTCTAAGGAGAAGATTCACAACCCAAGGATACACATTGAAGCGTTAAAGAGAATGTTAGGAAGGATTCTATACGAAAATTGATAAATTCAGGCGTGGAAAAAAAATATTTTTGATCACAAATGTGAAAATTGAGAAGTGTTTTTAGGGAAATAAAAATTTTCAGCACAGATTTAGTGGAAAATAGCGGTGAGAAAAGAATATTTATTGGCAGTTTATTAAAAGAAAAATCTCTCATTTATTTATTTTTTATTATTTACGTCGTTATTGAATCATGAAATATTTTTTATGACGAATCAAATCGGATGCTTTGACATTGAAAACCCACATTAGCAGACCCTTGGGAAAAAATTGAAGATTTTTCCGAGAAATCCAAGCGATTCTCGATTGATAATTAATTTGTAGCGTGACAAATATCGTGAGCATGGGTGAGAAAGAACAGATTTTTTAGCGCACAATAAATTAAAGACGTGGGTGAATCAATAAAGTCAATTTCTGGGCGAGTGAACGAGCTCGGGAAAAAATCTCGGAGCCATTAATATCTCTTCCCACGGTGCAAAGGAGAAGAGCACGGCAGAAAAAAGAGGTGAGGAGTATCCCGGAGTTGGAGGTGAGCGAAAACATCAAATTAAATTTCAGGAAACTAAAACAACTCTCCGCACTGTTAATTGGTGGAGAGTCTTCTGGGGCTGGCCGCTGAGGAATTGAATTTTCTCCGGACTCAGTACAAATTCGAGGAGTGTGTATTTTTATCCCAGGGCGACTGCGAGATGCCGCTGAGATGTGGGGGGAAAATTTAAATTCAATAAAATTTACGATTAGTTCCACAGCATCTCGAAATGATCGGCAAGGCATCTCTTCAAGGTGAAGGATGGCGCGGAAGACAATGTATGTATTTCTTGTGACTGGCGCGCACTATAAAAATCATCGGCATCCACATAAAATGATTCTCTCTGGGCGCGAGAAGCTATGTGGGTTTGAGGGACAACATAAACAACAGAACCAATAGAGCAACTTGTCAATGCTCTCAATACACTTCCTGATAAATTATTTCCCAAGCTGTCAGTGCTTCATTTACAGCCCAGGAAGAGAGACACAACATGCAACTTTCTCAATACACTTCTCCACAATTTGTGCTTTGATTTTATAATAACGCGCGCGCGGTGACGTGTCAAAAATTCCCCCCTTTTCCACCCAAACGACGATACTTTTTCATTTTTCACCCAAATGACAAATTACTCTGGCGAAGCGCGAAAGCAATTACTGATTTTCCCACCCAACAGACTTGCTTAAATCTATACTTTCACCAACAATAATGCCCAACAAAAGCCCAACAACGGTGAGAATATTGATAAATGTTGATAAATTTGCCTTGAGAGTATTTCTTGTGTATTCCATTTTTCCACCTCGCATAGTTTAATTTTTTTTCCTCCGGCTCTTCTCCAGGAAAAATGTGTCGCAGTTTCTATACATTTTCTTTAAACAGCAAGAAAAATGATTGCGGAAGGTCACGTATGCATTTTCATGACGAAGCGACGGGATTTTTTCGGTCATGAATATTTAATTTTGAAGCTTTTTGTGCAATTTTCCTCAAAGTTTCACTATGAAATTTCAATATTTGCAATTTGTAGAAAGGATTTTTTTCTCCCCATCCTTTCAGGCGTAATTTGGAAAGGGTAGTTTTTCATCCCCCATCAGAGTCGCATTGTTAAACTTTGTAACACTGAATCTAACTTTGAAGCTCTGTCACTGGGAATAATGAGGTCTGATTTAAGTCACTGTGAAACTGTGCTATTGACTAAATTGTGGGTGATTTCTCCCCAGGCGTGATTGCTAATTAACTGCTAATTGTCTATTTATGCAATTTGCACAATTGTCGTTGGCAAAGATGGGAAAATATTCGCTTTTGTTGAGGCTTTAGGCAAAGGTCAGACAGTTGTAAATGATTCCCGCGCGGAGGTGAATGTTTGAAATTCACCCACTTTCTGCGTAGGCAAAGCGTGGGGAATTTCCGGGAGAGTGTGAATTGAAAATATAGAGAAATGGCAATTTTGATAAATGATCCCCAATTGCGCGACAGAGAACGTGTTTGACGTGCTAAAAATTCATTTGACACAGCCAAGGCTCGCGCGATATCTTTTCTTTTTATGGTGAAAACCCAACTGATATCAAATCTTCACACATCACAGCGACTTCCCGAGCGCGCGCGCGCTTTACATTTTGACCCCATTAAGACGAAACGTGCTCCAGGTCATCGAGATATTTGCCAAATACAGTGCGGAATTCTTATCCTGTCGCCCTCGTCATCATCTCAATACCCAGAGAGTTTCCCGTGCGAAGAGGTGGACTAATACACTGCATTATTTATCGCCATGGAGAATTGGGGGAGGATTGATTGATTTTCTTGTACGAGGAAAATTGCGGACAAAGTGCGTGTGCCAAAAATTTGTGTTCGTGGAAAAGCAATTAATTGCGCACGACGTTTGCAATTTCTTGTGAATTTTGCATGGTAAAAAAAAATCGAGCAATTTCACTGGCGGATGAGCAGCGATGGGCAAAAAGAGGTGAAGAAAACGCGATCAAGCTTAGAAGACTTAGAGGCGGAGCGTTTTGGCTGAGGCAGAATTTTGCGAATTCTACTCGTGCCGCTTCAGGGGCAACGCCTCCGTGACAAAGTGCTCGCCAAATCGTCGATTGGATCCTCCACGAGACATTTGATGTGTCACTGCGGAGACCAAAAATAAATCATGGGCTCTGTACTTACTTCCACACGAGCAGCGATGATATCAAAACAACCAGCACCAAAACCACGGAGCAGAGAACGATCAGGGCTGATGTCTGAAGGGATGGGCTGCTGTGGTAGCTCGGGTCCAGAATCTGCAAGAGAAGTAATGGTAAGTGAGAAAAATTACCCCAAACTGTATAAATTGCAGAAGGAGTAGCAGAGAGACTCTTCACCTTCAAATTGGGAACGCCAAGGGGGCTGCCAAGTGAGTTCAACGCGTGGTTTAAGGTTAAAGCAATATGGCGGAGTCACTAATAACGTCACAGACTCTTTGTAAATGCAGCCTATTAAAAGGCGTCGAAATACGTCTTTTGGTGAAAAAATGATCAAAATCGGTTGGTAAACAGCTGAGATATAGGCTGGTGAAGGTGTAAACTTTGAACCCTCAAAACTCCGGTCCTATAATTTTAATCCCCACAAATAAGGGTTCATTGGAAAGTTCTCAATCTCAGCTACAACATACTAAAATTTGAAGAAATTGCACCGACTTATTCTCAAGTTATGCAATTTTAAAGTTTATGAAATCGTTTTGCGACTGTAGCGCCCCTCGCGGTAGTTGTATCAATTTATGATTTTCAAGTTGTGTTTTTAGAGCTCTAAAACTGTGAAAAATGCGTGGGAAAAGTCTTCCAATTAGAGAAATGCTGGTGTATTTTTTTCAAAGTGCTCCTAAATTTAGAAGCAACGTCTTCCGTTGCTCCGGAAGAAGTTGCGCGCCCCCGGCGAAAGTGCACATAGAGCACACATGAAGCATTCTCGCTGGGGAGATGATGCTCTTGCCTATGCATGCCAGAGACAGGGATAAGAGTCGGCGAGCGTTCTGCTAGATAAACCGACAAATTTCAGCTTGATTTATCTCAGCGAAATTCAACCATTTTCCACTTCTTCTGGCTGCACATTTCTTCAGCAGCGAAGCGTGGGAGATGACGCACAGTCAACAGTGCATGTGACGAGGAGACGGGCAAAAGTCCTCCGCGGATGAGCGCAAAAACATTTCACAACACACAAACTGGGATTTAATTGAAAATTCATATAAAAGTTTAGGAGAATCTGGGAAGTCATCTCAGCACGCGATGCTGTGACTTTTTTTGTTCTCACAGCACAACACACTCAGGGAACTTTCTAAATTCCAAAAAGGCTGGGAAAAAAGTAAGGAATCTATTTAAAATAGAGTGTCAAGCATTCTACTCTGGAATAACTAACAGCGAAACTCGCGAGAGAGACTCAACAGAGAGAGAGTTAATAAGAATTCGTGAGAATTCTGGTGTATAGTTAAGGATGAAGATTGAGAAGAAGATTCCTTGGAAAACTCAACACTTTGGAGGAGGATATTTATCGCAGTGTGAATTTTAGAAATAAATTTAATGAAACCTCCCTCTTCCGGCCCTCAGCCATTTCACATTACGCAATCTACGATCTTGAACACCCTCAACTCGCGATGGCAATTCCAGTGTGTTTTGTGTGGCGTGTGATTCAAGTTATTTCAAGTGTTAAGAATTGTTTTATTGTGTCGCACGTCCGCCCCATTCCTCCACTTCCATATGGATAAATCACAATACAAATTTTTCAGCACCGGCATCGCCACTCTCGACGACATTCCCTGCCGCCTTTTTTGCCCAGCCAAACCACCCTCTTCTGCTCCACTAGAGCGTCTTCCACCGCTTTCCACCACTTACGGAAAATGTGCGCGCCCTCAGTCGGGGGGGTGTGTGGGAAATTGCAGGCGCGCGAGGGTGGAGACAAAAGTCATTCATCTATTTATTTATTAAATTGCTTGACTCCCACCCCCTCACACTCCGTCTGCCTGCGAAGGGGGTGCGATATGTCTGTGGGGCTTTTATTATTTTTCCATTCCGTTTGATTGACTCACTATTTCCTCGGGAACTGCTCTCGCTCCGCCATTCGGCGCTCGGGGAGGTGAAAATTCAGCTGGTGGGCGGGAAAGTTGTGGAGGAAAGTCAGATGGTGTGGATGGATTGTCTTCATCCTGGGCATTAAACACAAAAGCTCAGCTAGACAGTGATGGCACAATGACCAGGTCGCCTGGGCTGTGACAAAAGGGGATGACCAGTTGGGGATTGTGTGCACAAAGTCCAGCAGACCGTAGATTTAGCCCCAATAAATACGTGGACGCGTGGAATGGGGAGATCTGGTGTAATATATGGATGTGTGCGATGGTCAAACTATGGTGAATCTGAACACAAAAGGTGAAAACTGAGGCGTCCACATAAACACACTCCGCATGTAATGGATGGCACATAAAAAAGGTCCACCCCCTCAGTCTCTAATTAAATAAATCGAGACGAAGAGCTGTGCTGTGGCACAGAAAACAACAGAAGCGCCAGGACAGTCTCTTCCGCCGAGGGATTCCGGAGCCACATCGGCTCAATAAAAACACACACTCCCGGAATATAATATTCTCAGGAGAAGAGTGAGAAAACTCATGTCTCTCAGTGCGCCCCATTTCACTGCCTTCCCACTGTCGCTCACGAGGAGTTGCTGGCAGATTTTTCGGGGGGCCAGAAAAATAGTCAGACACCAATATTCCACGACGTATTCAGTGATGTGGGAAAAGAGTGGCAGATAAGGAAAATCGTTACAGAGATATGAAACATCACTAAAAATATCTGAAGCAATAAAAGACAGACTTTTCTCCACCCGACACAGACCACACTTGGATGCTGTTACATTGTTGTTATTGCCCACAATTCATCCCCTGTTGTGTGGCAAAATCAAGGGAAAAATATGAAGGACTGCATATATTTCCAACTTGAATTTGTGTCAAGTATTCAAAGGCATTTTCACCATTTGCGCTATATTTAATTTGACTGCGTTAGAAAATATTAACGACACTTAAGGCTTCTTCCTTTCATATCTCCCCCTTTGAGAGATAGTGCAAAGATGAAAATACATAGAATTTTCCAATAATAACTTTGTTTTCAAAGAAGTGTGTTCGATAACAAAATACATAAACCTCCAATTGCTCGCATTTCTGCCATAAGTCCGAAATTGAGTGGTCAACTGGGGAAGCGAGGGTGCAATTGTGGGAAAACCACAATTACTCACCACAATCTCCTGGCAATTTTTATCATTTCGCAACACTCTCTTGCCGAATCCAGGCTATGTGTGTGTGACATTGCCCAGTAGGGACAAGGAAGTCGCCTTTTTCCACTTATTCCAAGCCCAGATTTGCCATTTTCCGCCTCCCCTGCATTAACAGTCTTCACACGGCATTATTTCCCGTCACTCTGACCGGCTTTTATGATGGCATTTGCAGTCTGTGGGGATTTATTTGAATAATATACATTACACTTGCCCAACTGCAGATGCTCTAAAGTCACGTACAGTCCATGGCTTTTCATTGGGAGGATTTTCAAAGGTACACAATAAGTCGCAATGTGGCGTGGAAAATGCACAATACTTTTGTCCATATTAGTCAGAGGGAAAAAAATGTCAAGAGAAAAGTTATATAATGTGCAAAGGGGATAAAAATACAATCATTTCTTGACTATTTGTGATTTTCATGTAATTTTTGAATATTTTTACCACATATTGCCGCTAGAAGGCAGCACTTTGAAAGCATGTGGAATTTGAGAAGAAATTGCTCGTCATTCTGCTTTATAATTACAAAGTTTCAACTCTGGGAAATGCTGTGTGTGAGTGTGCTTTTCGCATGAATAGCATATCCGATGTTGCGATATGTAAGGAGAGGATGAAAGGAAAGTTTTCGGGTGGTTCCGATACCTTTTAATTCACCGTAACAACCAATCGGTTTAAAATCTTTTTCCAATTCACTAAGCTTTTCTCTCTCCCTTTTCTCTCTCTCTCTCTGCACTCGAAGGAACTTTCTTCGACGATGCATGGCAAGGATGCATGTTGAGAATCAAAAGCTCTTGCTTTCAGCTGGGCTAATAACACTGTACGGGATGTGAGAACTTGATGGATATTCAGTAGAGCGACTCTAATTCCACATCCCACCCACTTTGCTTTCCACCCTCTCAGCTTTTGTCCACAGCACAACCATAACATTTCAATTGGCCCTATCAACAATGGCTTTTCTTTCTGCAACTCTCCATGACTTGTGCAGCTTCACCGCCCAGAGTTGCAGTGGAGATTTCCACCTTCTTGCAAAGCGTCCTGAACAGGACACCCAAGGCTTCTGGGTGAAACAAATAAATTACAGCGAGCGGAAGAGAGATCTCATGGCAACCCCACTTATGGTGTGATTACTTTCAATTGATTCGATGAAATTGAATTCATTTGCCGGCTTAATTGATTGCTCCACTTTCCATCGAATGTCTCTCAGACTCCCCGTATTGGCATCATTACATGGGATTCAATTACAGGGTTACTTACCTCCGTCGGAAATCTTCTTGGCAGGACGGAGACGAGAGAGAAGAGATCAACTAATTCCAGATACTTTTCCCCAACACTTCACTCTATCGTGCCCTTAATCGGTTCCCCCCATGGAATTGAGAATGACAAGATCCCTCCTTATGTATAATGCATGGCTTCTATGTTCTCTCTATGTAGCGTATGAATTCCCTACAAGCGTCCCATCCTGATTCACTCCTCCAACCGTATTTATACACATCAATTTTCCCCTCACACCGCCTTCTCTACCTTTGATACCTCTCTTCCTCCTCACTGAATAATACAATCTTAACGAGAAAGAAATGAACAATTAGAAGGGTGACATTTTCGCCTTTAACCATGAACAGCACAAAAATGGCGAATTAGGGAAAATTGTTGGAAAAGTGGAGGAGAAATTTATCTGGGCAATTTCGTTACAGCGCACTTCTCTCTGTACTGTTGAAAATAATCAAATTCAATCGGGAATATATTCTCTCAATCGCATTCCTTTGCTGTTGTCTTTTTTTCCCCGGCGAGAATTGAGAAATATAAAACGTTTAAATTCTCTCTCTCTCTCTCTCTCTCGTTTCGCTTTTGCTTCAGGACAATCTCCATTTTCAGGGAATTTCAAGTATCATTTTATTGTGCGACAGTTTGAGGGAAAAAATCCACACTGATGGTGGAAAGCGAATGGCAGAATGAAGGGGCTAAGCAATTGAATTTGTCACACAATCTCAAAAGGAGTTTAATGGTGAAGGAAAAGTTCCTCCAGGTCGATAGGAAACCGCGACGCGTGTCTCAGCAATTTGAGTTAATAACTAATGAATAAGTACGTCAAGAGTACAGAATGATTGACCCTTTAGGACTTCTGCCGGAAGAGCTTCACCCTCAGCTGTAGATTGAGCCAATTAAAAATTCATTTGAGCAAATGATAAAAACCCGTCTCGAAACTTCCCATCCAGCATCTTTAACGTCTCTTTTTTGCCTCTCTGTTTATCTCAAATGCAGTAAGAATTCATTGGCACGGAAGAGGGTGTAATGTTGCTAATTAATTTCAAATTTGAATCCTACCCGCGCCTTTCAATGGGCGCGCGCTTTCGGTCGCTCTCAGTCGTGAGTGCACTTGATGAAAGACATTTTTGTATAAGAATATATATTCCGAATGTTAGCCATTGATAAATGCTGAATAGAATTACTCATCCCTCGCTCTGAGCTTGGAGACTCATTCGGGCCACTCAGGTTTTCTCTGTGTGTGGAATTGAAGCAGGTATTTTGGCATTTTATTTCGATACACTTCGTGATGCTAATTTCAGTGTGTTTTTTTCTTTTCTCTCCACCAAAAAGACACCCTCTGCGACGTCTTGGGGCGGTCTTTCTTTCTTCCTGGGCTTTTCTCGTTGACACAAATGGAAATTCCATTTGAAATTGTTGCTTCCGGAGAAAGAGAAACAGACAGACAGAGAGAGACAGAGAGAGAGAGCGACGGGGATTGTAAGAAGGTGCGCCTTGGAGTGTGAGGCAAGGGAATAAGAAGTGTTCTTGTACATGATCCGCAATAATGGGACGATGAAGTGAACTTTATTGGAAATCAGGTCACATCTGGGATCGTTTGGAGCTGCTTTTTTTTCGAACACAGTGAGCGAGTCAATAAAAAAGTACACAGTAACTAATGTTGATGATGTTGTACTCGCTTTTTTTCTCTGCACCAACCCATGGCCCTATGCTGCCGCGGACAAATACATTCGGTATTTGAACGGTGCGGGGCTCCCTCGTTTTTTTCCCGCCGTTTCCACCATCCGCTGTGGAGGAGCAACACGAAGTGAGTGAGTGTATAACTATGGGTGAGAGAGCGAGTAAGGAGGAAAAAAGTAACTTTGTATAATTACGAAACAGAAAATTAAACAAGATTCGATGCTGGGAGTGGAGGTCAGAGGGGGGCCTCGGATGGAGTGGAAAGAATGTCCGAACAGTGGTGGAATTTGATGAGGTCGCGGTGGAAAAATAGCATACAGGGAGGAACAAAAAAAAAAAGAATGGAAATGTCTGTTTATTCCGTACAATGGAGTGCTGAAAGCCACGAAAATGTCAACAGTAGTTAGTTAAATTGCTTTTACTCTTTCACTTTGCAATTTTTCACCGCCAACAAGCCACTCTCTCTCCTCTTCCCCTCACATGTTCACAGCGGAAAAACCCCCCACGTGTGTTCCCCCCCCCCCATTCCACATCACAAACACCCTTTCTTTCAGCCTAATAAAATTTCCATTTTAAACAGCATTCCTGTCCCCGTGTGACTCTATAGCGATTGTCATCTGTAAACACAAACAAGAAGAGGAAGATTTCCGAGGCGCATCTCTCTCTCTTTCGCCCCATCAACAATGCCGCCAGATTGTGAGGAGCAAATGGAATAAAAAGATACACACACACGTTGAATGGGGTTGGGAAGGGTGAGCGAAGAAAAGGGGCCTCGCGCGCACTGAAATAGACATACAAAATACACCCCATTGTGCTAAATGGAAAGAGAAAATATCAAAGTAAGTACGACGTAGAATTATTGTATAAAATTATGATGATGCCGAATATTACATACTCGGCATTTATGATTATTATGAATACAAGAGCGACACAAAAGCGAAAAAGTGACTCTCCGTGAGGCGGAATCACAAATTACATTTTTTTCTTCTTCCCTCTCTCTCTCTCCACCCCTGCGCGAGGGGGCGTATAATACAGAAATGAAGTACCCATTCAATCACATAGGAGGAATACCCTTAAATGAGATGGAAAGAGATGCCTCACACCCTCGCAAATGCGCATTTTTGCCCTCGATTTCACATCCTCTCGGTATTTCGGCGAGCGTCGTCCTCGGAGTGCCCGAGGTAGGTAATATCCTTATTGTGGATTAAATTGAGATTACTGTAGCATGAGTTGTTGCAAAATGAGGCGGCATTTAGCGAACCTGGCATTTTTTCCTCTCTTTCTCTCTCTTCTTTTTCTGTATTCCCAGATTTCATTAATCGCGCACAATTCCATAATAAAGAAATCAGATCAGCGCTAAATCTCAACCCGCGGAGAGATAAAGTACTGGATTTTAGTAAAAACTCTTTTAAATTCATTGAACTCAGTAATCTGTTCTCTTTATCATATTCTTTGATTCTTATTTGTATGTTTTCTATTGATATGATTTCGTGATTGCATTCGCACATCCTTAGGAGCGGCTGTAGCTCACTGGTTAACGCATTTAACCCTCAACGTCACAATCCTGTATTCGAATCACACGAATTACAAATGTTCGAACACAGAAAAGTGTTAAAATTAAGCTTTTCTATAGCAAAATAGAACAGTCTAAGCGGTTTCTGTTGAATGTTCTAGCTGAAATATACGCTTCACTGGAATTGTCTTTCCCACTCTGTCCCTGTATTTAAAAGGTGGACGTTAGAACCACTTATGGTTGGTTAGCAATCTGACAATCTCTTGTCTTGTAATGGAGAAGGCTGTGTCCATCAATGGAACGTTAAAGCCACATAAGTAGTTATTCGCACATACTTGGCGACTCCTTTATTTATCCTCTTCATTACTTATTGCTTATCCTAGATGAATGAACAATGGCAAATGCAGTTTTACTCACCGGAATGGCTTCGCACATCTCGATGTTGGGCAGGGGATCCTCGGTGCAGGAGGCGACGTCATGCAGGAACGGCGGTCGAGGCGGCGGCGGAATCACAAACTCCGGAGGTGGTCCAGGTCCTCCACATTCTGAGCCACACTCTAAATCTGAATCCAACATTTCCCACATTAAAACTCAATTTAATGGGGGCGCGGATAAGTTTGGCCGCCACTGTCACAGATGATACATTTATCGATGGGCTGCAGAGACAAAGAGAAGAGAGAGAAGCTCAGGTTAGCCGCAATTATTTGACACCGCTGTAATTGATGCTCTCGCGGGCATGGCCCGGAGTCTCGAGAGCGCGGAAGGAGTCCTTTGCCAGCGACACCGAAGAGCGCGAGAAGCCAGTTTGAGATTTCGAGTGTGTTCCATATCTCTCGACAGCTGTCCGTTCTGGGACAGATTAATTGATCAAAATGACTGATTTGTCCGCGTGTGTGTCAGAAGAAGAGAACTTGCGCTGCACTTCGGCGGACCCTCTTTTTTATCTCTCCCACAGCTCAGCTCTTTCGGCAAATATTTTATTAAGTGGCTGTTTGGACTTAAGTATTGTATGACATTTTAATCCCAGCACATTGAGGGCGAGAGTATTTAAACTGCGATGCATTTTCACTTTCTCCCTGGGGAGATAAAGAAAAAAATCGATTTCTCATTTAGAATTCAAACTATAACCAAATGGTCACAAAAATCGTTGAATTTCAATTCAACCCAATAGAGGAGAGGTGAGTAAACAGAAGTTGAACAAACGATAAGACCTCTCGAGACAAGCAATCAGTCAAATGACAAAAAAAGGGGAAATTCCTTCCTCAAACACAAAAACTATGCGGTGATTGAAATGCGAAGATAACAATTATCCCGAATAAATACAGAAAATATTTCAACGATTCCGAAGATTGATGCTACAATCACCTTGAGCGCAATGACGCGGTGTACAGTGAACCTGGAATTCTACTGTTTTGGTCACAATTTCTGCGTTCCAATCATTCCACGTCGAACTACTTTTCCTCTTTCCCCCCCCACTTTTGGCTTCAGAATCTCTTGACTGATTAGTGTCTCTATTTCCGAGTGAATAAATATTTTAGTCATACAGGCGGTTCACACTTCTTTTGAAGAGTGGCGACGGAAAAGTGGCCTCTCAAGGATTTACATAATTAATCCGTTGATGCAGCCAAGTGGAAATTGGTGTGTCAAATTACACGTGTCGCATGTGATTAATTTGTCTTGTCGATGAATGATCAATTTGGGGAAGAATTGTCATATTTTCCTGCATTTCCATTTCTAACTCATTTACATATTCTGCCAAGGCGGACTTTGAGGAAACTTTCTGCCAATTTGAAGGGGATTCATGATATGTTTTACTGCATAGTTTGGCCCAAGGGGGAGATAATATGCTTCAAATCTTTATGAAAAATCCTTAACATTTCCAGAACATCAGCACTATACTTAAAACATGCATTTTCCTTATTTTATTCACCATTTTCGGGACTTTATAGATTTTTCCAACCGCTTAAAGTATCATAACCTCAAATTTAGGAGTTTTTGACCATAAAAACTTAGTGAAAACAAGAGAAAGAATCAGTCTTTGATGCATTTTGTATCATAACCTAGAAATTATCTTGAGTTATTGAAAAGAATCCGTGAAAAAACTTGTTTCGAGCTGAAATTTGCTATTTTTGAATAGAAAATCAATCAAATAGCTCTTCAAATAGACAATTTTCTATCCTGAAACAGCATTTTAGAGGTTATGATCAATCTTTGTACAATTAACACAGTTTTAAATTGAAAGTTAGTGTTATATTGTGATATAATGCAAATTATATCAGTTTAGGCGCAGGACTTAATAATTTTTGTGGTTATTTAGTGGCAAAGTTTCTCTTAAATTCATAACATAACCTAGAAAGATGTGAAAATCAATTTTTATTCTCCAATTATTGTGTTAATTCCTTTTGAAAGTGACTTTTTAACGTACTATATTGAAAATATTGAAACAATTCCACTTCCAAATACTTCAACACCACTTCTGATCATGATATCTCCCCCTTGGCTTGGTCCTTGCTTTCTTTCTTGGGTGTAAAATAACAATGAGGCGTTTGATTATGCGTTATTCTGTCAGATCTCATGCAATCTAGGACACTTGCTCAACTTCACAATGGATTGCGTTGGAAAATTCAAGTCCGATGAGTAAGAATTCCGGGAATTTTCTCATGCAAATTCTGTTTTATTGAGCTTCGATCAATATTTGCCTTCGCTATTCTGGGAGAGAAAATGTTGGTATACATAAGGAATTTATTTCATCCCCAGCAATGCTCCCGAACCACATCTTACATATTCTCTAATCAGTCTTGTTTCCCACTTTCATCATGAGTTATGCAAAATTAATCCATAATCTCGTGGAAAAGCTCTATTTCATTTTACCATCTCCGGATTACCAGTCTCATTGACGGTCTTCTCATCATCATTTCGGCCTGAATTTTTCATGATTTCAATTAATTCCATTCCACGGCAGATCGTTCTGTGCGGCACAAGTGGCTGGGTTAACCCTAATCCGCATGCAAAAACTAATGGATGAAACTGTTTACTGTCACTAAGTGTGCTGCTAAGATGAATAAAATGCCCCATTCAGCGGCCCTGTTACTCCATTTACATGAGGAATGTGGTCTTCCTCATTAAATACGCCACTCGTCAATGGGTGGCTTATTTGAATATGCGTCTGTTTGAATGCGAAATGTTCATGTCAACAGACTCTGGAGACACTTTCCTCGCAGTGTTGCTCATTTAAAAGAAACCCGCGATATAAAACACTTCATTATTCATGAAGTCGTGGTTGATTATAACAATTACACATTGTTAAATATTCAGAAAGCACCAGTTTTGTGGAGGGAAAACACTGTCTTGGCTTTTGACTTTGGAGGTCTTCGTGGAGTTTCTTGTGTGCGCATAAAACTCATGAGTCGATGGGCAATTTGCTCTATTGATATTTGAAGCAAAACTGGGTGGAATCCATTGGAATATTCGCCCCCTTTTCAATTGTCTATCCATGCACAATAAATGCAATTTCATATCACAGAGTAGAGATTAACCTGCATTGGAATCTCCTTTGAAATATTCCTGAAGATTCCCTGCATTCCCTCTGCAATCACACTTTTGCCATAGCGCAATCCATTATTCTATTGAAAACACCTTATCTTCACATCGCCCAACTCAATGGACAATGTTCGCGGGTCAATCAATCGTAATTATTGGTTTGAGGTCTCAAAAGGTTGGAAGGATGAAGGCAAAAAAAGAAACTTGTCGATTTTTTTGTGTTATCGCGCGTTAGGAATTCACATAATGAAAGCATTAGGCATTATTAATGATGCTATGCAGATGCCTTGGACGAGAATCAAATCGTTTTTCGAGCTGCTCAAAGGCGATCTGAAAGACCACAGGTTACTTTGAGCGCAAGAAATCGACAATTTCGTATCATTTAGGATACCTTGTCTGAGAGCGCATTCTTTACTCATTTTTTCCACATTGTTGTCTTCCTCAAATTTCATTCATGAGGCAAAAATTTCGACGTTACATTCATCTCACACATTGTTGCTTATAAGAAATAAACACACCGATTCGTCTCTTCTTGTATATTTCTTCCCCGCATCGCAGTGCGGTTTCTGCAACAGGTTTAGAGGAAGTAATCCCATAAATCCACCCATAAATCGACTTCATCCATATGAAATCTGTAGGTGAAAAATAGATTGAAGAATTGATTGAACAACAATCTCTGCAGATCAATATTATTCCTATTACGAAATACAACTCTCTTTTCACCTCCTCGCGCGCACACCAAATCCATGCCCAGTGTTTTCCTTCCATGCACACTGTTTATGTTGTATTTGAGCATGATTGAAGTGGGGAATGAGAGATGTAATTGATTTTATCGGCTCTATTGGAAATATGATTTAACATATACACGAAATTTTTGACTCTACCCTTGACTTACAATTTCTGTACAAATAAACAAACACATCTTATTAGGTGGAAAAAATATACATTAAATGGTGGGAGAGAGATGAGAGACGTCTTAAATCAAAGGGGGAGATAATATGCTTTGAATCTGTACATCACTCCCAAACACTTCTAGAGAATGAAGTTTTTAGACTGTTTCCACATCAATTTGCATCCGATATTTCTGTAAGAATCCATTTAAAAACACATTTTGGACATTCTTTCCGACCATAACCTCAAAATATAAGGAAAAGATCTTCAAAAACATAGTTTTGAAGCTTTCTAGATCCTATTATGATCTGGTTATGATTTGCCAATGAACTCAAAACTGTCGATTAAGAACAAAAATTGTCCAAAACATTTTCTAAGATGTTTTTTTAGGTTATGTTTGAGTTCAATACAATTTTCAGTCTCTTTTTGGCATCAAAGACTCAGAAAATGTTTAATTCTGCCAATGATGAGCAATTTTGGCGATTTAAATATAAGAATTGTTGTGCTAGAATGTGAATTATTCACTAAATCTATCTTAGATTTGTCACATAACCTAGAAAAAGATAGTTTCTTTGTGCAATTCTAAAGAAATCTGGAAGATTAGTCAGTAAAAGAAGACACTTCCACTTCTTAGGTACTTCTGCTGAGTTGTACAACACTTCTGGCTATATTATCTCCCCCTTGCTTAGATCTTAAAGCTTAAAGGAAGATCATGTAAACAGTTAACATTGAAGCATAGTTTTTGGGGCTTTTTCTTATTGTGAAATGCCCCAAAACTTGTTCTGGGCGATGAAATCTTCCACAGTGAAATGGTTCGATCATCCAGATAGCATAGAAAACTACACGCCTTGTGTGAAGCCTTCGGAGAACATTCACATGGCGAAACACAAGTTGAATGTCTCGGACATGAAGTGTCTTTTAGTCTCAATTTGTATAAGAATGGGAGAAATAAATGATTCAATCATCGCGTCGGACTAAAGAAGAAATTTCCATCATTAGGCCAAGACTTTTTTCTCCATCTCACAAAATGCCCCCCCGCGCTCGCGGTATGATAATGTAAGTCGATAAATAAAACATTGGCAAAAGCGGTGAAAAATCAATTCGATTTCAAGGTAAACTCTTTTTTTCCTGTGCGCCAAAAGCCAAAGCATACCTGGAAGGCACAGTAGGAGATGGCCAATTCTACAATTCACCTCACAAAC